CTGAGCACCAGTGGCTCATGACTGTAATCCTAGTTACTCAGGAGGCTGAGTTCTGAGGATCACAATTCAAAGCCAGGCCAGGCAAGAGAGTCCATGAGATAGTTTTTTTTAATCTACAATTAACTACCATAAAAGGCCAGAGGAGCTAGGGCTAAAAGTGGTAGAGAGCTAGCCTTGAGCACAAAAGTTCAGAGATAGTGCCCAGGCCAAGTTCAAGCCAAGGACTGGCACAAAAATGAAACAAAACAAAAAGTAGAAACTGCATAGTTAAAATACACTTTAATTGTTGGTACAGTGGCTAAAACTTGCAATCCTAGCAAGTTAAGGAATGGGTTCAAGACCAGCCCAGGCAAAATGTTAATAAGACGCTCATTTCAACCAATAGTTGGGCATGGCGGCACACACTGGTTATCTTACATGCACAGAATTTGTAAATAGGATCATCTACGGCTTGGGCAAAAACACAAGACTCTAAAACAACTAAAGCAGAAAGGTCTGGGTGCAGTTCAAGTGGTAGTGTCTAGCAAGCCCAAAGACCATATTGTAGTCTTCTTATTTTGGGTCTAAAATTCTTCAATAAAAGTAGGCAATGAAGACAACAATATGGTGTGTTAAACAGATGGCAATTTCTTTGTTTAAGCATCAGAAGATTCTTATTATACATAATGCGTCAACGATTCTTATTACACATTCACACTATGAAAGAAATGAGGTGCCTAAGTGAAGAAACAGGTTTATATTTTCCAATTTATATTGAGACACTGCTCGCTGAGAACAAAGGTACACAATACTTAAATAATTGCAATTTTCTTTTTCTCTTTACAAAAAAGGGGGTAGCCAGGTGCCAGTGGCTCACAATTGTAATCCTAGCTACTTAGGAAGCTGAAATCTGAAGACAGGTTTGAAGGCACAGGACAGGAAAGTCTCTGAAGCTGATCTTCAATTAATCACCAAAAAAGCTGGAAGTAGAGCTGTGGCTCAAGTGGTAGAGTGCTAGTCTAAAGCAAAAAAGCACAAGGACAGGGCCCAGACCCTAAGTTCAAGCGCCAGGTATAGAAAAGATATAGTTACATTTGAGCAGGTTAAAGTCATTTTGTTGGCCCCAAAGCCCTTCTTAACCCTGCTATAATACAAACAGTACATTTTTATACAGTGTATAAAACTTTAGAAACTCAGTCACTCATTTCACAAAACTTTATTAATTACTAAGTTTACATACTGTCAGAAGAATAAAAGAAAAAACAAAGAATGGATTCCTATAATGAGAAGCTTACACTCCAGCTCAAAACAGAAGACATCTGAACACAAAATATCTGAACACAAAACAAAATGTAGTAAACTTAAGAGTGTTTAATGCAACTTTTAAATGGCACCTTTTTATTTTGTTAAGCAAATACCTCACTCCCTAAATCTTAGGGAACATTTAACCTTTCTTTTAGAGAATACAATGCATGGTAATCATGAGTAAGTAGCATAATCAGTGCAGATACTAGAAAAGCAACACACCTAATTTAGCCATCTTTTCAGGAGGTTTTCTATTCTGAAAAGAATAAACTTTATTCCCACCATCTGCAGCAGAACCATTTTTCCAGGATTCTGAAAAAGAAAATGCAAGATGTACTTAAGGAAAGGGGAAAAGTGAACATACATACATACATATACACACACACAGACACACACACACACACACACACACACACACACAAATGTTTGACTAAACTTAAATTTCTACCCTTACTACATTGCCTAAAGGGTTAAAAGTACATATTTATATATAAACTATTTTAAAATACATAATAGAAAATTGACTGATCCTGTTTATACAAATCTTTTTTATTTGTTTTTGGTCAGTCATGAGGCTGAACTCTGGGCCTGGGCACTGTCCCAGAGCTCTTCAACTCAAAGCTAGCACTCTACCACTTGAGCCAGAGCACCCACTTCCAGCTTTTTCTGTTTATGTGGTGTTGAAGAATTGAACCCAGGGTCTCATGCATGCGTGGCAAGCACTCTACCACTAAGCCACCTTCCCAGCCCTGTTTATACAAATCTTAGCACACAAAAAACAGACACAATGATTTTTTTCCCCTCCAGATCAGATGGATTAATAAATTATGAGAATTAAGTCAAGTAAGTCCAGGTAAATGGGACCTATAGGTTACACTTCAACACAAAGCAAAAGGATGAATAATGGAAAGATGTTTGTCATTTGTTTTCTGTTACTGGAAAACACAAATAAAAGGATTATTCGTATACAGTTCTGGAGATTCAAAGGCACACCACCAGCATGTGCTTGGCTGGAAGTATTTTCACTGTTTTGTCCCCTCTCACTTACAAGGGATATGTTACCTGAAAATTAATTTAGGAACTAGAGAGTTGGCTCAGCAGTATAATACCTTCCTGGCAAGTACAATGCCCTGAGTTCAAGTTCCAGTCCCACTGTAAAAAAATTTTTAAAAAATTGTTATAAAGGTGATGTACAGCGCTGGGAAGGTGGCTCAGTGGTAGAGCGCTTGCCTTGCATGCCTGAGGCCCTGGGTTTGATTCCTCAGCACCACATAAGCAAAAAGAAAAAAGCTGGAAGTGGCGCTGCAGCTCAAGTGGTAGAGCGCTAGCCTTGAGCTGAAGAGCTGAGGGACAGCGCCCAGGCTCAGAGTTCAGGCCCCACGACCGGACACAAAAAAAACAAAAACAAAAGCAAATAAAGGTGATGTACAGAGGGGTTAGTTACATAATTGAGGTAAAGATTACATTTCTTTTTGGACAATGTCAGCCTTTCCCTCTCTCAGTTTTTCCTCCTTTTCTGCACCCACAAGCTATATAGTTCATTTTCAACATAGTGTCTAAGTACCACTACAAAAAATTTTAAGAAAAATAATAAATATCTTGTTTCCAAATTAAAACACATTTCAAAATAACGACCTCAATCCCTCATATGAGGAGAAAAAAAAGAATATTTTAAAAAACTTGGAAATAAAACTAAGTCTTCAAGATACATTATGAATAAAAATTATAAACTAGGGGCTGGGAAGGTGGCTCAGTGGTAGAGCACTTGCCTTGCATGCCTGAAGCCCTGGGTTCGATTCCTCAGCACCACATAAGCAAAAAGAAAAAAGCCGGAAGTGGCACTGTGGCTAGAGTGATAGAGCGCTAGCCTTGAGCTGAAGAGTTGAGGGACAGCGCCCACGCCCAGAATTCAGGCCCCACAACTGAACCCCCGCCAAAAAAAATATAAACTATAAAAACTTCACAGGGGCTGGGAAGGTAGCTCAGTGGTAGAGTGCTTGCCTTGCATGCATGAGGCCTTCAGTTAGAATCCTCAGCACCACACAAGTAGAAAAAGCCAGAAGTGGGGCTGAGGCTCAAGTGGTAGAGCGCTATTCTACAGCTGAAGAGCTGAGGGATAGCGCCCAGACCCAGAGTTCAGGCCGCACGACTGAAAAAAAACAAAAAACAAAAAAAACACTTCACAATAAAGATAATACAGGTTAAAACTTATGAGGCCCTGGGTTCGATTCCTCAGCACCACATAAGCAAAAAAGAAAAAAAGCCAGAAGTGCTGTGGCTCTAGTGGTAGCGCTAGCCTTGAGCTGAAGAGCTGAGGGACAGCGCCCAGGCCCAGAGTTCAGGTACCAGGACCGGACCCAAAAAAAAAAAAAAAAGGTTCACATTGTTTGGGTGTATACAACATCCTAACTAACAAGTTTATTTTGTGTGTGCTTCACTAGAGCTTGAACTCAGTGTCTGGGCTGTCCCTTAGCTTTTTCTTTCAAGGCTGGGACTCTACCACTTGAGCCACAGCTGGATTTCTGGCTTCTTCTAATTAATTGGAGATAAGAGGTTCACAGACTTTTCTGCCCACTCTGGCTTTAAGCCATTATCCACTATCTCTGTCTTCTGAGTACCTAAAATTACAGGCATGAGCCACCAGTGCCCAGTACTGGTATTTTTTTTTTTCCAGACCTGGGCTTGAACTTAGGGCCTGGGCACTGTCCCTGAGCTTCCTTTGCTCAAGGCTAGCACTCTACCACCTGAGCAACAGCACCACTTCTAGCTTTTTCCGTTTATATGACACTAAGGACTCAAACCCAGGGCTTCATGCATGCTCAGCAAGCACTCTACCACTAAACCACATTCCCAGCCCAATAGTAGATTTTTTTTTTTGTCTTGTCGGTCATGGGGCTTGAACTCTGGGCCTGAGCGCTGTCCCTCAGCTCTTCAGCTCAAGGTGTGTGCTCTACCGCTTGAGCCACAGTGCCACTTCCAGTTTTCTAGTGGTTTATTGGAGATAAGAGTCTCACAGACTTTCCTTGCCCGGGCTGGCTTTGAACCATGATCCTCAGATCTCAGCCTCCTGAGTAGCTAGGGTTACAGGTGTGAGCCACCGGCGCCTGGCAAGTAGGTATTCTTAACAGAATAAAAATTGTTTTTTTTCCAGGCACCAGTGGCTCACATCTGTAATCCCAGTTACTCAGAGGCTAGTTCAAAGCCAACACTGGTAGGAAAGTCCACAAGACTCTTATCTCCAATTAATCACAGAAAAAAACGGAATGGTGTTGCAGCTCAAGTGGTAGAATGCTAGCCTTAAGAAAAAGGAACCCAGGGACAGTGCTCAGGCCAAGAATTCAAGCCTAGGACTGGCAAAAAAATAAAATTTGATTCTTGGCAGGACAGAAGTATGGAAAAAAACTTTTAGTATTACAATCAATGATCTATGGCCTTCAAAAAAGTCATAGTATACAAGATGTACAGCATATATGTAGTGTTAAAATTTTATCAGCGTTATTAGTAGAAAAAGCCTACAAAAGGTTAATTAAGGGATGATAAACAAAACAAGGTTAAAAAGCTGGGAATGAGCTGGGCACTGGTGGCTTATACCTGTAATGCTAGCTGGGGTAAGAAAGTCAATGAGACTCATCTCCAATTAACCACCAGAAAACGGGAAGTGAAGCTGTGGCTCAAAAGCAGTATCATGCTAGCCTTTTGTAAGCTCAAGAACAGTTGCTTAGACTGAGTTCAAACCCCATGATCAACAACAACAACAAAAAAACTGGGAATGAAGCCGGATACCAATGACCCAATGACGGAAGCCTGTAATCCTAGCTACTTAGGAGGCTAATACCTGAGAATTGTGGTGTGCACCTCAATGTATTACAGAATATAAGACTCTTACCTCCAATTAAGCACCAGAAAGGTAGAAGTAGAACTATAGCTCAAGTGGAAGAGTGTTAGCTGTGAACAAAAAAGCTGAAGGACAGCACCCATTCCTTGAGTTCAAGCCCGAGCACTGGCATAAAATAGATAAATTAAAAAGCTAGCACAAATCTATTATTCCAGGACTGGAGAGTGAGGAAGCCAGCCTGAGCTATATATTAAGACCATGAATCAAAAAAAAAAAAAAAAAAGGCTAAGAAACATAGAGGATAATGACAAAAATAAGGCAGTATACAGAAATAAGATATGGTATTCATGTGTCCAGGGTTTTACTGATTCTCCCTGGGCTGAGGTTGCCAATCAGTGCCTGAAGTGAAGAGGGAATTAGGGCCTCAAAGCAACTGTTTTAGGGCCAATGCACCTTATTTGCTGTGTATGCTGTTGTATGGAAAATGTTAGAAGCACTGTGTTTTTACAATTTTTTTCTTTTTTTATTTTTAAAAAAACAAAGTTTGGGCTGGGAAGGTGGTTCAGTGGTAGAGTACTTGCCTTGCATGCATGAGGTCCTGGGTTCGATTCCTCAGCACCACATAAGCAAAAAGAAAAAAGCTGGAAGTGGTGCTGTGGCTTAAGTGGTAGAGCGCTAGCCTTGAGCTGAAGAGCTGAGGGACAGCACCCAGGCCCAGAGTTCAGGCCCCACGACCGGACCCAAAAAAAAAAACAAAAACCCAAAAAAATAAAAAAATTAAAAAACAAAGTTTGTTTCATTGAATAGTCTTCAATCTCTTCTTAGGGCTAGCATAAACAGTTAAGAATACAAAGTTCTATTCAGAATATGTACTAAAAAGGTCAATAGTTTAGTTAGGAGTTTCTACCCTGCCCCCTAAAAGCCTAATGGAGAATACTAGTCTATTGCCCTGAACTTAATCTAAATCTACTTTTGAAAATCTAGAATGGGGAAATTAAAAAAACAGACCATTTAAAACTGGGAACTGAAACTTAGTAAGACTTATGGCTTAAATGACAGATCAAAGAGTAGCTATGAGAGTCACTTATGGGTTAAGAATGAGACCATCAGGAACATATATGAGGAAGATAGATGGTATTAACAGAAGAGAACAGATGCACAGAAAAGGAAGGAAGACCAGGAAATCCATGTCCCTCAGGATTTCTGGTGTTTTGTTTTCTTTTGATTCCTTTTGATATAGCTTCTTACTATATTACTAGAATCCTCTTGCCTCAGCCTCCCAAAGCAGCAGTGATGACAGTGATGCACCATTATGTCTGGCTAAGTACTTCTGTTTTTTGTTTTTTTATATCACCCCAGCTTCAATGTATCAACAATACTGATTGTTTTCTTGATTTTTATTTTTTAGAGCAAATTGGAGTAGGCCTATGTCTTTGTACCCAGACCAACCTAAAATATAATGCAAGTCTAAAATTAAAGTCTTAAAGTATTTCTAAAGTATAATCTGGAAGAAATTTTATTTAAGTGTAAAAACAAAGACAAAAAAGCCAACACAGCTCATGGTGCTATATGCCTATAACCCAGCAAAGGTTGAAGCAGGAAGGTTTTTAAAGGCTAGCTGGGGCTATATTTTGTTTCAAAAACAACAAAACAAGATGGAGGAGAATGTTGGGAAGGGTGACATTGATCAACATGCATTGTACTCATAAACTGACTTGGTGAACTAAAATCCCTTTGTACAACCACTTAAAAAAAAAATAAGCCAGGCGTCTGTGGCTCATGCCTGTAATCCTAGCTACTCAAGAGGCTGAGATCTGAGGATCGAGGTTCAAAGCCAGCCAGGGCAGGAAAGTCCATGAGACTCTTATCTCCAATAAATAAACCACTAGAAAACTGGAAGTGGCTCTGTGGCTCAAGCAGTAGAGTGCTTGCCTTGAGCTGAAGAGCTCAGGGCCAGCGCCTGAGCCCAAAGTTCAAGACCCACAACCGACCAAAAAAAAAAAAAAGAAAGAAAAAATAATAATATCAACAGTAACAAAAACAAAACCACAACAAAAATCTGCCTACTTTGGAATAACACTATTTCCAAGAATGTTTTTGCTAACTGCTCCTGTACAAAGTCAAGGTAATAATAAAATAACTTGGATTATGAATATATTTTCAGTAGGTTAAAAATACAAATATCACAGCTGGATGTGATGACACACATGTGTAATCCCAACAACTCTAGAAGATAAGGTAGAAAAATCAAAAATTTAAGGATTATTTGTCTAAAAACAAACAAAAGTAACAAAAAATGGTAGAGAAAAACTTGAAGGAAATGTTTTGCTTGTGTGACCCCCATGACCCACACCATCAAATACCTTGAACATTTCTTCCCAAAACTTCCACATAGTTCTGATCCTTTAAGACTTCCTGGTCACCTTCCTCCAGTTCACATTCTGGCTTCTTTATTATTTTCTTGGGGTTAACCAAAAGCTGCGTTTTCTCCTTTTTTACTTTAGCTCCTATAAGAACAGTAAAAGAATTAACATGACCAATATAAATTCTTGATAAAGAATTGAATAGGAGGCTGTTGTTTTGTCAGTCATCGGGCTTGAACTCAGGGCCTGGGCACTGTCCTTGAGCTTTTTCTCTCAAAGCTAGCACTCCACCACTTTGGGCCACAGTGCAACTTTTCATTTTCCAGTGGTTAATTAGAGATAAGAGTCTCCAGGACTTTCCTGCCCAGGGTTGGCTTCAAACACAGATCCTCTGATCTCAGCCTCCGGAGGAGCTAGGATTCTAGGCATGAGCCATCAGCACCTGGGTATGTTATTTTAAGCTGGAAAGTAAGTCAGTGTTTTCTCCTTGACTTAAAGTACTGATGACTCTATTTTCCTACAATTTACATAAATAAATTAAAACACATCATCTTGAAAGTATGAGTGGTTCAAAATTACATTATTTGGAATCACAATGAGAAATAGTTGTTTATTACTACTATTGAGCATTTCATTTTTGATAAAGGTTTCAATAAAAAATTGAAAGAAGCAAAACTAAAAACCAGCTTTTATTTAGCCTTTCTATATTAACTACTTTGTACTATATTTTCAAAATAAAGTACTACAAAGTTTTCTAAAATGAAAGAATTCATAAACATCTCTTCAACTGTACAATCTCTTAGTACCTCCTTCTCTGTCAAGAATATGATTAAGAACATCATCATCGCCCACAAATTGAACCTCCAGCATCTGATCTTCCTTTAACTCCACTTTACTCATCATGGCCAACCTAAAAGGAAGTAATAAATGTGATAAAGAATCCATACCAATCACTACATAAATTAATCAGTCATAATATAAACACATATATTCATTTAACTTTTTGTGTGTGTTTAAATGTTAATACTGGAGCTTGATCTCAGGGCCTGAGTGTGGTCCCTTAGCTCAATTCTTCATTCATAGCTGGTGTTCTACACTTTGAGCCACATGGCCATTTGGTGATTATTTGACCATAAAGGTCTCACAAACTTTCCTAATCAGGGCTGGCTTTGAACTGTGATCCTCACAGATCTCAGCTTCCTGATTGATATCAGCTGGTATTACAGGCATGAGCCATGAATAGCTGATATTATTTACATAACATTTTAAAGTAGGAGATGTATTATACATTATTGTATTATTACATTGTTTATTGCAGGCAACTCAATTCTTTCTCTAAAAACAGGGTATGAGGAGGATAGAGGTATGCAATTTGAGAGTCAAATCCAATCAAGTAACTAATATACTATCTCAGGAAAACATTGTGCAGTTAAAGAAGGTTCAAATCTGTCTAACAACTACACTAACAGAAATGGGGTGATTAACATGAAAGTTTAGAAAAGCGATACTCAAATGATTGTTTGAGTGCTTTTAGTATTTGTTCACTAAAAAGATATAGTTTAGGGGCTGGGAATGTGGCTTAGTGGGAGTACTTGCACAGCATGCATGAAGCCCTGGGTTCAATTCCTGAGCACCACATACACAGAAAAAGACAAGAGTGGTGCTGTGACTCAACTGGTAGAGTGCTAGCCGTGAGCAAAAGAAGCTTAGGGACAGTGCCCAGGCCCTGAGTTCAAGCCCCAGGACTGGCAAAAAAAAAAAAAAAAAAGCCGAAAAGCTGGGCACCAGTGGCTCATGCCTATAATCCTAGCTACTCAGGAGGCTGAGCTCTGAGGATCATGGTTCAAAGCCACTCCAGGCAGGAAAGGCCACGAGACCCTTATCTCCAATTAACCACTAGAAAACTGGAAGTGGCTCTGTGGCTCATGTGGTAGAGTGCTTGCCTTGAGCTGAAGTGTGCAGAGACAGTGCCTAAGCCTAGAGTTCAAACCCCACAACCGACAAAAAAAAAAAAAAAAAAGAAAGAAAAAGAAAAGATATAGCTTACTGGGTATAGTTTTATTATCTCAGATAATTTTCAAGACCTCCCTTTACTTTTAGTGCATGCTTGTCAAATATTTTGCAATTACAATTGTGGCTTTATAGGCATCATGGTAACTAAATAGTAAATATGAATCTATACAACACTATAGTCAGTTTCTCACTGATTAAATTTCAGAATTAGACAAGCAAAAGCTTGATCAGTTCTGTCTATTCTAACAACTTTTTTTTTGGTCGGTCGTGGGATAAACTCTGGGCCTGAGCGCTGTCCCTCAGCTCTTCAACTCAAAGCTAGCATTCTACCACTTGAGCCACAGTGCCACTTCTGGCTTTTTCTGTTTATGTGGTGCTGAGGAATCAAACCCAGGGCCTCATGCATGCAAGGCAAGCACTCTACCACTGAGCTACCTTCCAATCCCCCTGACAACATATTTTTATATTTAATTTATTTTAAAAATATTTTTTGAATAGTTGTACAATGAGGTTTCAATTCAAAATGCAAATTTCTGAGTGCAATACATCTTTATTACTGTCACCCCTTCCATCATTCTTGACCATTATTCTGACAAAATTTGCTTACATTTGTTATGTTAATGGCCTAAAACTACAGATATTTAATCAGTTTACCCCAAGAAATGCTAAGATTCACTGTTTCTGCTGAATTCTTGTCTCATTCTCTCTTATAAATCCTGATTTTGCCTTTTCTTGTAACAAAACTACCAAATGTCTCTCCTAAGTTACTTGCATGCAGATAAACTGACAAAAAATTTTTTGACAACAGTCACACTTAAATGACTCCTTTCAGTTTCATTACCTTTTAAGGTGCTATGCATTCTGTAGCTGGAAAATTCAGTCACCTGTAATTGGAAAAAGAACTGTCAGGGTCAATAAATATGAAAAACAAAACAACAGTAAAATCAAGAAGTTCATGAGGTTTTTTTTTTTTTAAACTTAATTTTATGGGCTGGGAAGATGGCTCAGTGGTAGAGTGCATGCCTTGCATGCATGTGGCCCTGGGTTCAATTCCTCAACACCACCTAAGCAGAAAAAGCTGGCTGTGGCTCAAGTGATAGAGCACTAGCTTTGAGCTGAAGAGCTGAGGGACAGTGCCCAGGCCCAGTGCCCAGGCTCAAAGTTCAGCCCCCCACGACTGACCAAAAAGAAAAATAATCATTTTATTTTGTTATAAAGGTGATAGCGCTACAAAGCTGTTATGAAGGCATAGTAAAGGACAAAAATGATGATTACCATTTTGGCCAGAGAACCCTGAAACTGAGAAGATCCAGACTGAGCAAGGGGACATTGAGAGAAGACTTAATCAGTTACTATGTTCTATACATAGTTTTAAGTACTTTACATGCATTCTAATTTAATCTTTATAACTCCATGAGTTATATAAAGAAAATGAACCCACCAGCCATAATTTGCTATTGTTATTTGCAGTACTGAGGTTTGAACTCAAGTATTGTGCTTGCTAGACAGAACTCTACCACTTCATCCACAATTTATATAACCACCAAAGTAAAACATGTCCTTGGACCATTTTTCTAGTCATAATATTGCTTTCTATCATGAGGAATCTGTATATATTTGAGAAAAAGTTTAATGCACTTACATGATATTTGTATAAAACAAATGTAACAATCTGTTTATATTTAAAAACAGGTTTTATATTAGACACATCTCCACCCACCATACATCCTTAGTCTTTCAAGTATGTGTGTACTTGAGTACGTGTGTGTGTATGTATAACTTCCCAATGTTAAACAGTATTTAACAAAACTCACACAATTAGCCTGGTACCAGTGGCTCATGCCTGTAATCCTAGCTACTCAGGAGTCTGAGATCTAAGGATCATAGCTTTAAGCAAGACTAGGCAGAAAAATCTGTAAGATTCTTATCTCCACAAACTACCAAAAAAGCTTGCGCGTGCTTGCTCTCTCTCTCTCTCTCTCTATATATATATGTATATATATAAAACATGTGTGTGTGCGCGCAAGTGCGCGCACTTTCGCTTTAGAGTTGAAACAGCTTCAGCTAAATTCCTGATCAGTCTATTACAAAGCATACCTTTTCTACCATGTGATAAAAATCTGTTATTTTAATTGCTTGTTTTGGCCTCTGGAAAGTATTCAAAATATTATCTATTTGTTTTCCCACATCTCAGAATTTCAAATATACAAAGACTTCTGTTGTTCTCCTAAATTTCATATTATCAGATTAAACACTGGTCTATCAGGCATACTTTAAAAGTTGCCAGATTGAATGTTTTATTTACATATTGCCATGTTCTACAAAGGATCTGAATTAGTAACAATGAACAAATGAAATAAAACCAATGGTAAACAAAATAAATATTAATAGCGTTTGATCAGGGAAAGCATTTCAGAAAAGCAAAAAAACAAAGTTTTACACAGGACTTTGGCCCTGAGCTTTGTGGTAAGTCAAAAAAGGTCAGTCAAATAATTCTTATTGGCAAAAGCTTAGAGGTTCTTGGGAATGGATCTTCAGGAAAATATTTAAAAGCAAATACTTTAGGCAAACGAATATTGTATTGGGCAATTTCCCTAAGATATTTTATTTTATTTAGACGGTGTCATTACATAGCCCAGTTTTCCCAGGAACTAGAGATTCTCCTGCCTCAGTCTCCCAAGTGCTAGTATTAAGGTATATGCCACCAGGCCTGATATGCCACATTGTGTGTGTGTGTGTGTGCATTGTGTGTGTGTGTGTGTGTGTGTTAATTCCGGGGCTTAAACTTGGGTCTTTTCTTGCTAGACAGGAATTCTACTGCTGAGCCAGGCAGACCTTCAGCCTTTTGTGTATGTAATTTTTGCAATAAGGTCTCAATTTCTGACAGGTCATAGATCTAGATAGTAATCCTCTGGTTTTTCAATCCCTATTGTGGCTAGGATAGGCACCCATCACCAAACCCACTTACTTTCAGTTGAGATGGGGGTCTTTGGACTCCTTTGCCCAAGCTGACCTTGACTCACAGTCCTCAGGATCTCAGCCTCCCAAGTAGTTTTCCTGAAGCATATTAATTGCCTTGGCAGAGGCGGCCTAACTCAGTTCTTGTTTATAGCTGAATGCAATTACACAACATCCTTTTTTAGATTTAAGGCACTTAACTATGCAGTACAAACAAAAAACACAATTGAAGAAATCTCATCAGAAAACTTTCTTTTCCAAAGGTCCCAAAAAAGCACTAACAATTACACAATGCAAATATACATCATGAACACCTATGACCTTTCAAAATAATACCATAGGTGTTTATAGGTCAGTTTCTTTTTTCAGTCAGTCTGGAACTCAGGGCCTGGGCACTATCCCTGAGCTTTTTCCACTTAAGGCTAGCACTCTACCACTTTGGGTCACAGGGCCACTTTCTGTTTTCTGGTGGTTAATTGGAGATGAGTCAAGAACTTTCCTGCCTGGGCTGGCTTCAAACCCCCATCCTCAGATATCAGCCTCCTGAGTAGCTAACTGATCCACTGGAGATCCGATGTTAATTTCTTTTAAGTAGTTAAGTACATAGTAAACTACTTTTTCCTCTGGATGCAAATACAATTTTTAAAAATGTAATTGTTAAAAAGAATGGCAGTATAGATTAGTGGTTAAGTACCAATAGTAATATCAGATAAACTTGGGTTCTAATCTCAACTGCACAGCTGTATGGCTTTGTCCAAAGTCATGAAGATTAAATAAGACTGTGTAGCCGGTGTGGTGATACATGCGTGTAATTCCAGTAATCAGGGGGCTGAGTCAAGACGACACCAAAGTTGAGGCCAGCCTGGACTACCATAGCAAGACCCCGTTCAAACAGCAACAAAATGACATTTGCCTGACAATGTGTTCACTAAATGTTCCCTCGTATTGGTATTTTTCACTTTTCAACATAACCAAACACATTTCTGCATTTCATGCATCTAATGGAGAAAGTGCTAAGTGATGAGTGACGTCCATTTAACACGCAAGCCATTACAAAACAGTACTTAGGGTCATGCTGTTTATCCTGAGACTGCAATTTAACCAGCGTAATGGTTCCATTAGGATTTCAACTTTAACATGCAAAGCAATGTTTCAGCACCCTTCATTTAAAAAGCCTTACCGAAAGATAACCGTTGTGTCAACATTTTAGAACCAAGCAGTGTCCCCGATCAAGGGTGGGGTTGACAGGACCCGTCTGGAACATCCAGGCAAGTTCTAGCCCCAGAGGCAGCGTTGGCACGTGATTCCTACCTTCTCACAGAGCACTCCACTTTCCGTACAGATCCTTACTTACCCTTGTCTTACCAGCGGGAGGCAGCCAGGTTGCTCCCGGGCGTCGCTAGCCCACCAGGCCTAGCCCCGTTAGACAGACTGACAAACGGTCTTCCCAGACCCAGCTCTTCACCCCTTCACTTCTTGACGGACTCCGGCCGCACGCCTCCCTCTGCCGTCCAGTTAGCCGGCTGCTCGCCACTCGGGGCCAGCAAAGGGCAGGCAGGGAGGGAGGCACCAGGAGGCCCTCCCCGGCCGAGCGTCCAGCCAAGTCCTCCGACTCGCGGGAACCCCGGCTTGAGCGCAGGGCCGGGCCCGCCAGGACTTACCTCGCAAGTCCGGAGCTACGGCAACACTGAGAAGCAGGTGTCCCCAGAGCTTAGGTCTCCCGAGAGCGCTGTTCCTGCCGCCCTGCTGAGCCGCGGCCGGTGGCCGGGAAGGCAGCTCCGGCCGGAACCTCAGTGGCCGAGTTCTCATAAACCAGGCCGCCGCGGGCACAAACCGAAAGCCCGCACAGCTCTGCTCGAGCTTAGGAGGCCGCGCACTACTCACAGAATCTCCCGCCCTGCTCAGGGGGCGGAGCCCGAGCGGACCAATGGGAAGCCTTGCAGGATGAGAGGGACGGTTCTACAGGCCAGTCGGCGCCGGTCCTTGCGACTCACCCAACCGGTAAATTTGAAGGAAACAAATCCCTCAAAGGGGGGTTCCGCCGCTTTCCTTTTTCCGTTTCCGGGGAAGGGGGCAGGAAGTGTTAACTGACTCTGCGGGTGGTCGCAAAGGCTGCAGCGCCTGCTGAACTGATGTCTTGGTGTTGTGGCAATCTTAGTGTCCTTTGGTTTCTCTAACTGCTATCTTTGGAGGGGAAAAAATGAGAATAGATTTTTTTTCCTCACACTTTGCTCATGTGACATGAAAGGTAGCCTCTTATATAGGGCTGAGGAGAACCAGGAGAGAAGACTGTCCTTTATCTAAAGGAAAAACGTAGCAGCGTGGACTAGTGGAGATGGGATTGAACCACTAACGAGAAGACAAGGAAAATAGAATGATTAAAATAGGGGAAATGACGAATCTGGCCGGGATACATACTGCGTGTGTGTGAGAGAGAGAGAGAGCTGGGCTTGGGCTTGAACTCGGGGTCTGAGCACTGTCCCTTAGCTTTTTCCTACCACTTGAGCAACAGCTCCACTTCTGGCTTTTTGATGGTTAATTGGAGATGAGTATAATGGACTTTACTGCCCAGGCTGGCTTCAAACCATCATCCTCAGATATCAGCCTCCTGATTAGCTACAATCACAGGTGTGAGCCACCGATGCCCGGATCACATACACTACTTTTAATAGAGTTATTTTATTTGACCTCAAAATTAAGTCCAATTTTGTTTGTTCCAAACAAAACACTAGAGAGATACCTGAATAGTAGACGGTAAGGATACAATATTGATGTAGACAAACATGATGTCTGCTTTCACTGAAAGGCATTGAAAGGAAAATATTGAGAAAAATGCTGTAATGTGGGAGGTGGATAGGAGAGCCTAATTAAATGCCAGAAAGAGTGGGGAACAATTGCCTTGCAGGAAGAAATGTTTAAACTGAAACTTGAGGGTTAAATAGATGTAAGCCAAAGAGAGCAAGCTTTCTAGGTAGATTATTCAGATTAATATGGCAATTGGCAAATGGCAAGCATTTGGTCTGTCATTCTGAAAGGCTAGTTGGCTCTTAGGACACTGGTCAAATTTGTATTGAACGATTATGAAATGGCAGGCACGATAGCCTACAATTTGACAAAGTTGCTAAACAGGAGAATCCTGGCTCAGGCCAGATGGGCAAAAAACAGGACCCTATTTTAGATAATAAAGTCTGTTTTTAAAGAAGCTATAGTCATTGCTCAAGCATAGGCCTTGGGTTTAAATGCTAGTACAAGTAAAAACTAAGTTACTACATATGTGGGATGTAATCATAGGAGGGAAGAAATGGACTGGGAATCCAGTTACAAAAAGAAATGGGGCTGGGAGGTGGCTCAGTGGTAGAGTGCTTGCCTTGCATGCATGAGGCCCTGGGTTTGATTCCTCAGCACCACATAAGCAGAAAAAGCCAGAAGTGGCACTGTGGCTCAAGGGGTAAAGCGCTAGCTTTGAGCTGAAGAGCTGAAGGACAACGCCCAGGCACAGAGTTCAAGACCCATGACCGACAAACAAAAAAAAAGAAGAAATAATATCATTACTATCTCAGTATTACATTTTGGCCAGCTTGAGTCAAGAAAATGAAAGGACTCTGCATGTAACTCAATGGTATAACATTTGTGTTTAGCATGTGCAAAGTTCTGAGTTCCAAATAAAAAAAGGAAATTTTCTATGTTAGAAAAGAACTGACAACTCTCTTTGCAGTCACAAATATTTTGGGTAGGAAATCAAACCAATGGGAATGGGAAGATGGGGTCAATATTGGCAGAAAGCTGAAACTAGAAGGGATTGTAAAATAGCAGCTCTCCACAGTCACAGAAATTTTGATGGGAGTATTACAAGAGGAAAAGTAGATCAAATTAATATCTTTTGTTTTGTTTCAGTACTGGGCTCATATATGCTAGGCCATCACTGGATTCCTTACCTACAACCTCACATTAACAGAATCAGAATTTTAAAAAATATGTAAGCATCCAACAGAATAGGAAAGGAGGTGAGATAGCTAACAAAATTTTGGGAGATGTGTGATTAGACAGTCAAGAATACTGAAATCTAGACCTGTCAGTTTTAGAAGCTAGTAAGAAACTTACAATCACAGAACTCTATGGATAGTCTGAGGAATGTCTTTAAGAGCAACATGGAAGCCACCTACCAGAGACTCCTGCTATCTATTTTGTGTGTGTGTGCACGCACACATGCACTCATACATGCTCATTTGCTAATATTGGGCCTTGAACTCAGGGCTGTGTGCTTTTGCTTAGTTTTGTGCTCATAGCTGGTGCTCTACTTATTACTCAAACCATGCCTTCAGCTCTGGCTTTTTCCTAGTTAATTGGAGATTAAAAAAACCCTCAGATTTGTCTGCATGACTGGCTTCAAAACTTAGATCTCAGCCTCCTGAATAATTAGAATTATAGATTGGCATGAGCCACCAGCATCAGGCAATCCTAGATTCTATGAGGCTGAGATTGGGAGGAATGCTGTTTAAGGCCAGTGTGGGCAAATAGCTCAAAAGACCTTCTCAGCCAATAGTTGGATAATGTCACGTCCATTATCCCAGCCAGATGGGAGGCTAAGAATGGGAGGATCAAGGTTTCAGGTCAGTGAGACTATCTCAGTAGCAGGAAGTTTGCAGCAGTAACCCATGCTTGTCATCTCAACTACAGGGGAGGCCTAAAATAGATCATAGTCTAGAGACTGCAAAAAATGGAAGCCTCAGGCCTTGAATTCAAAACACAGTACTGCCAAAGGCGGAGGTGGGGGGAGAGGAGGTCCAGCTTGGAGCTGAGGACTAGCTGCCTAAAACAAATTAGAACTTGGATTCTCTTGACCTACTTACACAGGGAAAGGAGTTTGCAGAAGTTATAGGGAAATTTCTGCAGAAATTGCAAGAATGAGAAATACTGAACTGGGGTGTGTTGGAGAGCAAGTATATAAAAGACCAGAACCTTTTGTTTTGTCCCTGCAGGCTGAGTTTACAACTTTAGCACACACAAAAAAAAACTTTAAAAAAATTATTGGGGGGGCTGGGAAGGTGGCTCAGTGGTAGAGTGCTTGCTTTGTATGCATGAGGCCCTGGTTTGATTATTCAGTACCACATAAGCAGAAAAGGCCGGAGTGGTGCTGTGGCTCAAGTGGTAGAGTGCTCGCCTTGAGCTCAAGAGCTCAAGAGCTGAGGGACAGCGCCCAAGCCCAGAGTTCAGGCCCCACGACCAACAAAAAAATGATTCTGGCATTGAAATTAGTGTCTTGTACTTGTCAGGTAGGCCCTCTACCACTTGAGTCATGCCTCCAGCCTCTTTTAATGATGGTTAATTCTGAGATAGGATCTCACTTTATGCTGTCCTGGACTAGTCTTCCTGTTTCCCCCCCAATGATCCCATCCCTACTCCTGATGGAGTCCATCTGTTTTTCTGTCATTTTTTTTAGTGTTATAGCTGCACCAAGGGGTTTCACTACAGTATTTCAGATGTACATACGTTATATTTTTCTTAGAATAACCTTCTCTATCGCTTCCACAATTCTCCTTTCCCCTGCCTCCAACAATTCCCTATTAACAGCTTTCACTGAGGTTCCTTGGGACCTCAGGAAGGACACAGTCGATAAGTAAACATTTTGTAACAGCAGAAACTGGCCTCAGAGAAACAATGTCTTATTGTGACCTTGAGGGACACCAGCAGAACATCCTCGAGCACACCTCTGATCAATACTAATTACACATACTGCTGTCCCTGCCGCAACAATTCCCTTAAACCTAATATGCTAATTACGCTAGTTACTCTTTTTTTTGGGGGGGGGTCCAGTCATGGGGCCTGAACTCTGGGCCTGCGCACTGTCCCTCAGCTCTTCAGCTCAAGGCTAGCGCTCTACCACTTGAGCCACAGCGCCACTTCCGGCTTTTTTCTTTTTCTTTTTGCTTATGTGGTGCTGAGGAATTGAACCCAGGGCCTCAGGCATGCAAGGCAAGCGCTCTACCACTGAGCCACCTTCCCAGCCCATGCTAGTTACTCTTTAGACAATCAATTGTCACTGAGTCTATATGTGTTTCTGGCCAAACTCACAAATCTTTGCTGTTCAACAGCTCTCATCTCTTCAACTGATATGTTAGAAAGTCCAATTTAGACATCCCTCACCCCACCCCAGAGACAGGTTTTTTTTTTTTTTATATCCAAATTTCCAGTTTCAATACAGTATTAAATTTGTGTCCCTACAATAAACATATAGAAAGGTATGAAATCTTTTTAATATATTAATATAATGCCTACCTTACCTTTGTTACTTATTTTATAGTATAAGTAATTTTATGTATTGTCTTATTTCAGTAGAGTATTGCATAAATTAAAATTTTAGATATACATAAATAAGATGGCATGCTTTCAAAAAATACAGTGAAAGGACTTATAACGTATAAACTTTAGGTAGGTAGGGAAAAATCAACTCAGGGAAATCCACGTAAAAGCCAAATAAAGCTATATTTTTATACTGTACAAAAGAAAATGTACATTCTTAACTAGATACACATAGGGAAAATTACACATCCCTCAAGAAACAATATTTAACATCTGAGATATGTTTCTGCATTGCGGACTGATATTAAATTTTATACATCTTTATTTACAATGACTTAAAATATTTTTTAATCTCTGGCAGATATTTACAATGTCAACAGTGACTACATTTCACATTTCAACAATCATGGCATTAATCAATTCAGTAAGACAGGATAATGGCTTACATGCACCAGGAAATACGATTTTAAATGTGCAAGTTGTTTTTTCTTCAGTTCTGGAAAGATATTCACTAGTCCAAATTTGAAAGGAGATCACTCAATAGCGATCATAATTCCTAC